GGAAGCTAAAACCCTGAGTTCCTTTAAATCAGAGCTAGATAAGATTTTAACAACTCTGAGCTATTAGTTAAGTTCTCCCCAAACAAGCTTGATGGGCCGAATGGCCTCCTCTCGTTTGTAAATTTCTTATGTTCTTATGTAAATTGATCATTACCATAGCTAATTTCTGACCGCTATTCTTAGTCCCAGTCGAATTGTCTGATTTTCATATTTTAAAGTTGATAAGCCCTTTTCATTACTAACTCTCTTCTTGCTCCATGAGAGAAATTAGTTTTAAAATCAGTTTACGGGGCTCCTTGTCTGTACCTAAAGACGCCTGGGTGTCTGTCGGATGGTATTAGATTATGGAAAGGACCCATCCTGAGGTATGTTCCCTGAAGCTTTCGGATATCCCAGCCGTTTCACATGCCTGGCAGACCAGAATAATGACCACCTCCCTACACATGAGCTGACTGTGTCCGGACTGGGCCTGTACACAGAGATCCTGCTTTTAAGTGATAATTAAGTCCATCTTAATGTAAAGGATCTTCGTCACACTGATCAGGGTGCTTATTTATGTATCATTGATCAGTGCCCCTACTCTAGTGATTACTACGTAGAATGGAAGACCCTTTTCCAGATTTTCAGTTTGTCGAAAGACTGGAATGTTATAAAATAAAGAAGATGATTGTTCTTTGTATGTATTTAAACTTATGAAATGCAAGCTAAGGTCCTCGGAGACCAAAGCTTTGTAACTGATATCGGCCGTCTTTAGGTTGTCATCTCCGTTATGCTGAAGGTCATAACATCCCCATGGGAGCCCAAACGATGCCCTTTACCTCCTTTCTCCAGTTTGCCTTTCACTTTTTACTGCTTCGGAGCTCTTGACATCACCTGTTGCATTAAGTGTGACCGACTGTCCTCATCTTTGTTCGATTCTGAAGCCATGCCATTGACATAAACCCTGAGATACGGTTACCAAACCCATTTCAGATGCTGGAAGATGGCAGGATTCAGAGTACGAGTCGTAACAGGAATCTTACTTAAAGCAGTCATCATAATGCATTATATATTGTATAAAACTTTATGAATGCATTATCAAGGTATCTATACCGCATTAAACATGAGGGTTCTTTAAGTGAAGCGTTACTGAACATAAGAACATAAGAAAAAATACTTTCCCAGATGCGTCACTTTGATGGTTAAAAAAGCACAATAAACACGCCCGTGTCGGAAAAGCTCGGGCACCTCCTGTCGTTTGTTAGATGTTCACAAGAAATGATCTCGCTTCCCGTGGGAGACTCCTGAGAAGTGGGGGCGTGTCCTTAGTGACAGGAACAGAGCAGGTTTCTGTGCTGGGGGGGTGATAGACATTTTCCCATGGGGACACTCTGCTTGCAGGTCCAAGGCCAGCGCGTGCCTACTGCAGATGGACCCGCGCAGCCCCTACATGGTGCGTCTGCCCCCGAAGCTGCCTGGCATGCACTACAGCGCCGACGGGCAGTGCCAGATTTTATTTGGCACCAACGCCACCTTCTGCCAGGATATGGAGGTAGGAGTTTCTCCTGAACTCACTCTGCTTTGCCCTGTTTGTAACGGGGTGCTTTGGTAACCGGCTGGCTAGCTGATGCTAACGTTACCCCAGTTTTTATGTTAAATTGTCTCTAATGTCCTGAATATGTACTTTTCCCATTGTGTGTTGGTAATGCATTTCCATGGTGAAATGGGCCCTTGAAAATTAGGGGGACTTTTTTTTTATTTTAAAATAGATTATATCAAAAGCCCTGTAGTTTGGGTCCAGGCTTGAAGTGGGCCTTTTGTTGAGGACGTCCCCCACGTCAGCGTGAGCTTCCCTGCCAAACCTGCAGAACTTGTCCCTCATATTCGTCATAACCAGCCAAAACTTCTAACTCTGCATGTTTCTCATAAGGAGCACTTGACAGAGATTGGTCGTCCAGTGGGGAAAACCATCCGATGGTTTGATTATAAACTTTGAGAAACATTTGATTACAGCATGTGGCGCAGCCTCAGTGCCTGTGATGGGACGGTCGCCGGTTCGAGCCTGGCATCGGTAGAATAGTCACATGTCTGTGGGCCCTTGAGCAAGGCCCTTAAGCCACAGCTTCATGGGTGTCTCTGCAGGTGGCTCTCCTGTGATGCCAAGATTGCTCCTACGATTGTGTGCCAGGGCAGGATAGGATAATGAAAAGAGAATTTCCTTACTGGGATCTATAAAGTGATTTAAAATAAACATCCAGTGAGCGATGCTGGGGCCAGTTGCTAAGCTAACGTGTCCTGGGGGGGGCGGCAGGCTTGCTAATTGGTTGCCTGTGGCAATCCAAGGGCGAGCGTGACACGATTTGTCTTCAGTGCATTGCTCCCCATTCAGCCTTGTGCTCACAAAAAAGAATATTAGCGAGTTCCCGCTTGTAATCGGGTGGATGTGCTGTGGATGTGCTCCACCTCAGCATTTGAGTTTTACTTACAAAAAAATTTCTGAGGGCAGAACGAAAAATGATTGATTTCAGAGAGAACCAGAGACACACACACAGATTGTAGAGGAGGTGGGTCCAAGCAGCTAGAGGAGACAGTGCCAAGACATTTGATTGGTTGGTTTAGCCTTCTCTAGTCGCTTGAACCCTCCTCCTCTACAAAATGGTTTGTTATCTCTATGAACCAACCATTTTTCCTTCTCCCTGAAGAACATGTGTAAATAAAACTCCCATGGGCCCCCCCAGTAGCAGGTCGGAGTGATACGATCCTGGCCAGATGGGGCAGCTGTCAGTGGTGAAAAAGTGGGGGGGGGGGGGGGGTGAGGGGGTCCTGATCTTGTGGGATATTTGCTTCTGCATTGATACCAAAAGCTTATTAAACCATTTTATAGTTGCATCTGCCCCCTTAGTCCATCTGCTCTATGCCTGTCCCAGTTGTTACAGGACGGTTCCGGAAATATCTAAGTGTTTTTGAAACATTATTTCAGTCACATTTCAAGGGGTGAGTGAATGAGTGACGCAATAGTGTGATCATGTCATGTGTTTTTACAAACTGGTCGTTCCAAACTGGTTTTATTGAAAGATTTGCAATTAAAATAACTGACTCAAGCACTGAGCCTGTAAAATAGCCCGGACGAGTGTGCGGATTGCGGGTCACGGTCACAGAACACGCCGGTTTCCTGACCGTGACTCAGAGGGGGCCGCAGCTCCTCAGCGAGACGCGGTTCTTGTCGTCAGGCGCTGCGGTCGGCCAGAGTCTGTCTGTATGACACGCGTGCACAAGGGTCCAAGAAAAGCAGGTCGGATCCAGCTGATGTGCCGCCGAGCTTTTTACCATGGCCTGCAGAACTTCAAACGGGCGCTCGTGTTGGCGATATCGCGGCGTACTGAGATGGCACCACGCCCAGCCCTCGGTAAGGCATTCGGCAAGCCCGCGCCGGACGAGCGCACCTTTAAGAGCCGTCCTGCTGACAGCTTTATAGTGCGGACTAAAGACACGACGAGCCGCAGTAAATGCTGTGCTCTGCGGTGTCTGAAAAAGCCAGAGGCCTCTAGAGCAGTAAAGCCACCAGATTTCCACTAAGGGCAGTAAAAAGGTATCATTATGTGGAGAGACTCCCCCTGCTCAGGAGATTCATCATTGCATGAATGTGAGTGTGTGTGTGTGTGTGTGTGTGTCTCTGTGTGTGTGTCTGTGTGTATGTATATATGGGTGTGTGTGTGTGTGTGTGTGTGTGTGTGTGTCTGTGTCTGTCTGTCTGTGTGTGTGTCTGTGTGCATGTATATATGG